AAGGAGGAAGCGGAGACACAGGGCGGGTCGCTCGGTCTCGGGGCAAGGAGAAGGGGGAGTCCCGCTGCCAAAGAATGCCCCAAGGAGGAGGAGGAGACGGGACTGGCCGGAGACCTCCTGGGGGGCCCCAACCCACACACACACATGGACTCGGGGGGGGGCGCCTCCTGGACGGCCCCTGCTCCTTTCTTGTGCAGGGATGGGCGTTGGGTCGGTGAGCTTCTCCGCGCCTGCCACACACCTGACTTGATCTCATGGCCATTTCCGAAAACTGTTTTCAGTCCAATAAAAGCATGTAGACTCTTTTACGAAGCTGAGCCGAGTGGTGTCTTCTTCGGAGCGGCGAGAGAGGCTGCCGAGCGCGGAGCCAGTGGGCAGTGGGGATTCCTCTGCCCGAAGGAGGCGAGGCCCTTGTGGAAGGGCCCTCTGCCGGGTCCTAGGTACCCAGACAAAGCCAAGACCGTCTGTGATGGAAGGCTGGGGGAACGGGGGGGACGGGACAGGGCAGGGAACTGCCCCCGGGGCCCTCCCCCAGCCACAGCCCTGGCTAGCCCGAAAGGGGGTGGTCCTTGGAAGGCGTCTCTTCCCCTCCACGTCTGATCTCCATCCGACAGGAGCACCGGCCTGGAGCTGGGCCAGGTCTCCTCCCGGCCTCCTCCTCCTCTTCCCCCCCCCCGTTGTTTCCCACCCTCTCTTGGCACCCTGACCTGCTGGGGATGGACGATGGGTGCAGTGGGCCAGGGAGTTCCAGAGCATCACGTCTTAACACATACACACACACACACACACACGGGCCTCAAAGAAGACGGGCAAGCCCTGTGGCCCAGGGCCTTTTCTGGAGGTGGGCTCTGGCTCCAAGCGGAGGTGGCCATTCAGGTCCCTTCCCGCCCCTGCTGGGGTCGGAGGCCGGGCCAAGGAGCCTGGCAGGGCAGTCTCAGGCGGGTCAGCCCACCAAGGGGGGGAAAAAGGCATCACGTTGTTTGGGCAGACCACAAAATGTTTTATTCGAGTGGAGAAGCCTGCCTCTCCCGGCCTCTTGTACCATCGCCACAGCCGGCCTGGCCTGGCCCTCGGCCATTTCTCGAGTCCTTTCTTTCCAGAAGCACCTCCCTCTCCTTTGCCGGAAGGCCCAGAAAGGGTGCCCATAAAGGAGAGATTGGGAAGAAGCTGGTTCCCCGTCACCTCCTGCAGCCAAGACCCACCGGAGAAGCCAGCCGGCACCATCGGCAGGGATTCCTGGCGGGAGGCTGGGGTTTGGCAAAGGCCGGGAGGAGACTTGCCTTCCGAGAACGTTTTCCAGAAGCACCTCCCTCTCCTTTGCCGGAAGGCCCAGAAAGGGTGCCCATAAAGGAGAGATTGGGAAGAAGCTGGTTCCCCGTCACCTCCTGCAGCCAAGACCCACCGGAGAAGCCAGCCGGCACCATCGGCAGGGATTCCTGGCGGGAGGCTGGGGTTTGGCAAAGGCCGGGAGGAGACTTGCCTTCCGAGAACGTGCACAGAAGAGGGGCATTTGCCAAGCCAGCCGCAGGTCCTGGGCAGAAGGTTCCTTCCTGCCTTTGTGACGGTGTGGGTCTCTCTGTGCCCCTTGGAGCCACGTATCCGGGGAGCGGCTGGTCTGCTGGGGTCCAGGGGTGGCTCCTGAAGGAGGGCAGAGAAGCTTGGGAGGACTCGGGGCCAGAAGGGTGCGGCTGGATCGCGAGAGCAGCACAAATTCCAGCCCCTCTCCAATACCCTGCTCGGGAACCGTCCGGATCACCACCGAGCCTTTCCCAGGCCGGAGCAGCCCCTCTTTAAAAGGGGGAACGGCCAGCTGGAGCCCAGCCCAGCCCCGCCACCCCCAGGGGCCTCCACCAGCTGGGCCCACTGCCCTCCTCCTCCTCCTCCGTCACCCGCGGACTCAGGCCTCGCTGCCATCTGGGGGCTGCCACCCTCCAGCAAAGTCCCAGTCTGCCAGGTTCACTGTGTACGGGACGTCGATGACCACCTCGTGGGGCAGGTCGTGGTGGCCGTGGGCTGTCCGCCAGGTGTTCCGGGGCCGAACGGCTTTCCTGAAACGCTGAAACGACCGTGAAAAGCAAGAGGGGTTGGCTGGGGCACCCTTCTGTTTCCCCTCTGAATCTCTCTCTCTCTCACACACACACCCTTCCTATTTTTTGCAGAGAGGAGACCCCCACCCACCCACTCATCCCAGCTCCTTAAAGGCAGACTTGTGGCCACACTTCGAGATGGGAATCCTCCCCGCTCAAAGAAGAAGGAACGGAGGCTGGCCGGGCAGACGCTCCTTACTGACACACACACACCCGCCCCGAGCGCTGAAAGGGCCTCCGCCCAGGCGTCGCCCACAAGGGACGTGTGCAGAGGCCCTGCGGCTTCCCAGGAGGTCTTTGGCCAAGCTTGGAAGGGAGGGGAGACTGAGTTGGAGGCAGCCCTGGATCAGGCCCCCTTGCCCTGATGTGCCCCCCCGCCCCCAGGCACAGACCAAAGGGACGGCCTGTGCCAAAGGAGGGGTGCGTGTATGTCGCCCTGGGGGGTCTCCCCATAACCCTACTTACCTCTGCCAGAGTCCCCCCCTCCTTCCAGAGGGCGACGCCTGCCCAGAGGGGTATCTGGAGGCAGGTGACGACCCCCAGGCTGATCCCCAGGGCCTCCCCCCACGGGGGATATTCGTAGGGGCCGTAGTGCAGGGTGGTGCTGGAGAGGTCCAGGAAGATGTAGAAGAGGATGAACTGGGGGGGGGAGAGCAGAAAAGTCAGCAAGCCCCCCTACCGCCTGCTTGTTTCTTGCCTTTTTGTCCAGTCTTTACACACACCCTCCCCCCCAAAAAAGAGAGCACATGATGCACACTAAAAACATTTCATTTCAGCCCAGGACGAAGGGAAACAAGTCCTACGATTCCCCAAGCCCCGCGCCCGTTGGTCAAGGGGTCCTATTTCAATATCCACCCACCTGCCAACGAGGTCCCTCCCATCGCACCTTTTCTGGGCGTGTGTGTGTGCGTGTGTGTGTGCGTTGTGTGTGTGTGTGTGTTTGTGGATCTGAAGGGAATGGCCTGTGGCCAAGCGGGTCTCCCCTGTTCTCCCCCCCCTCGCCACCCGCACCCCCTTGGGCTTCTACCCTTGGCCTGTTACTGACTCAAGGCCAACGACGGGACAGGGCCGTGCCATGGCCCCGTCTGCGCCCTCTGC